CGCTCTTCCTGAAGATGATGTAATGTGAGGTCGGGCAGCCAAGGGTCTTGTTCAGATGTGTTCCTGAATGTCTCCAAAGATGGAGACTGCAGGCTGGCTTGGTCCGTGCTCTAGCATTTCACCACCCTGTGAAGAAATTTTTCTTTATAGCCAGTTGAAATCTCCCTTGCTGCAGGTTGAGACATCTGTCCTTTTGCTGGACACATCTAAAGAGAGCCTGCCTCCATCTTCTCTGTAACTATCCACTAAACAGTTGAAGGTAGCAAGGAGTTTAGCCCTGCTTAGCTTTCTGTTCTTCCAGCTGAATAAACCCAGCTGTCAGTGATAAATTATACTTCCACTGACTGCGTCTGGAAGCTCCTCATTACCTGGCTGTAGTACTCAATCCCATTCACATGAAGTCTGAGAGACTTGTGGTGGATTACAAATGGTGCTTCCAAGTGTGGTATGAGTTCCAAGGCAGTCGCTTTGCAAATACTGCGGTTAGGATTCTAGCATCTTTTGTTTAAACTGGATTAATGTCTCTGCCACATCTGGTGACATCCAAGGGGCAAAAAGTGGACTTGTGCAACTTTTGTTTCTCTCCAAATTGGCAGGCTCCAGGAGGCCACGAGCTGAACTGTGACTACTGGGAGCTTATTGGTCTGGCCCCAGCAGGAGGGGCTGATAATCTACTCAACGAGGATTCGGAGGTTGATGTGCAACTTAACAACAGGCATATGATGATTCGAGGCGAGAATATGTCTAAAATCTTCAAGGTGCGCTCCATGGTAGTACAAGCCTTCAGGGATCATTTCTTTGCCAACGGATATTACGAAGTAAGTGTGTTTTCCCTTGTCAGCAAGTGACTACTTTGATGTCCTGACTTCAAGGCTATCTTTGTCGTAGAAAAACTCTGTAGACTTTCTAATTGTCCTCAAGGGGCAGAGAAAAGCTGTTTCTTAGGAAACTATTATTTGATTGCTTTCATAGACATAGATCTCACAGATGTGTAGACACTTCTGAGGCGTGTAAGCATTACAGCATGATTCCCAAACAGCCCGCGTACCTCTTTTTAATGCACCGAAGAGTATCGGACTGCAGTGCTTGTACGTGTGCATACAGAAGTAGAGCGTGCCTTGCATCACTGCTCTCGTGTGTTGTCATCCTTGTCCTTCACTCAAGTAATGACAGTCCCGTTCTGTAACAGGTCACACCACCAACTTTAGTCCAGACGCAGGTGGAAGGAGGCTCCACCCTGTTCAAACTGGATTATTTTGGTGAAGAGGCATACTTGACACAATCATCCCAGCTCTACCTGGAGACCTGCATTCCCGCACTGGGTGACGTTTTTTGTGTTGCTCAGTCATACAGAGCTGAGCAGTCCAGGACCCGCAGACACCTGGCAGAGTATGAGACAGTATACTTCTTTGCTGTTGATGTACAAGTGAATTCATGAAGCAGGGGAGTAGCAGGTGGTTGGATGACATCGTGTACAGTGAACAGAAAGCATGATGCTACTGCAGAAGGACTGAGCAAAAGTGTATTTGAGGGGTAATACCTTGTCTCACTGAACGTCCGGCTGATAATACATTGTCATTTAGTGAAGGAAGATCTGGGCGAAACAGCTGATTGGTTTTTAGGAAGCTTTGTCTTTTTAGAAAATACAGTTCATATTGTTGTCTGTCTTGTTTGGGTTTTTTATGGTTTTATTTTCTTTAAGTGTAGAAGTGGGAGAAATGAAAAGGGGGACAAAAGTGTGTGGTTTTTGGTTGTGGGGCTTTTTTCATGGGTAAAGATTTGTTGCTGGTGTGTGGTTTTGTAATGGTGTGACTCTTTGTTTCAGGTACACTCACGTTGAAGCTGAATGCCCTTTTATAACTTTTGAGGATTTGTTGGACCGTCTGGAGAGCTTGGTTTGTGATGTAGTAGACAGAGTCTTGAAATCACCTGCAGCAAGCTTACTATATGACCTAAACCCGGTAGGCAACAGTATGGAACAATCATGAATAGCCAAGAAAAGATGATCTTTCCCCTTTCCTGATCAGCATGTTCATCTGGGGAAGGCAGGGCAGGGAGCTCTGCTTGCTTACTGTTATTAATAATAAGAAAAATATTAAATAACATCAAAAGAATGAAAATGCTGCAAGGCTGGTAATGACTCTTCCAGCAGCAGGGGACTGTGTGGATGAGGTTCTGTGCTAGCAAGTTCCAGGAGCCAGCAGTGTGCTGGGATTTATCGCAATGGGTACCGTACCAGTGGAATAAACCCCTCTGTCCCGGAGCTTGTAATATTGATCGGCTGGTACTGGCAGACTGAGCACAAGGGAGCAATGAAACAGCTGGTGTTTTACTTGCTACCCTGGAATGTGGAGCTCTAAAGCTATTCTCATTTGTTAGAGACCCTTTGTCTTCTCTTGCCTTTGCAAAGAAGATGGCTTTAGGTGACTGCAAACTTCATCACTAGCTTTTCTCTTGGAGCCCGTACCAGCTCAGTCATCCCTGTTATTTTGACCTGTTTTCCTGATGAATGGTGGGAGGTTCGGTGTTAAAGTTTGGGCTGAGACGGGTCAGGAGGCAGGAAGTAGCAGAAGCACAGCCCACCTCACAAAGGTGGGTCCTGAAGCCATTCTGTGTGCAAGGAAGCAAAAGTGTTCTTTTGTGGCCTTGCCCGTGGAACCTCTGCTAATGGCTCTGTTTGAAACACCTACATGGGCAACGACTTCGTACAGAAAAGTAAACGGCTTTGAAAATGCTTCTCTCTCCTCTCTCCTGCCATCTTTTTCAGCATCTGTTCTGTGAGCTTTACTGGGCTTGGTTCTAGCTTCCCAGTACTGAGCTTGGTTTGTTTAATAATAATTGGTTGATGGATGAGCTGGAAAGAATAGTGTCTATGCTTCAAGTCAGGAAGGGGGCTCGCTGATCAACTAGAAAAGTGTTCTTCTTTAAATGTAGTATTCTTCCAACTGTCTACTCTTATTTACAGGGCTTCAAGCCCCCTAAGCGTCCTTTCAGACGAATGAACTATTCTGAAGCCATTGAGTGGTTAAAGGAACACGATGTGAAGAAGGAAGACGGCACTTTTTACGAGTTTGGGGAAGTAAGTCTTTCCAAGGCGCTTTAGGAATTAAACCCAAACAAAATCCCACTGCCCAGCGTTCAGGGTGTGTCAGTCCCTTGAAGAACAGCGTGTTTGGGCCATGATGCTGTTGGGCTTACCGGTGCTGTGTGAATCTGTTGTGGTTTGGCTGGAATGATATCGATAAGGGGTGAAATTCTAGTCCCATTTCAGTTAGTGGGAGCTCTGCTGTGAACTTCAGTGAGGCCTGGATTTTTGGCTGGACTGCGCTGTGAGGTGCAGTACTGTTGTACTGGGGAGTGTGGCTGTGGGCTGGGTTTTCACATAATGTCTTTGAGCGTGGGAACCCAAACCTGTGTTGTCTGTCTGTCTCTTCCCTGTCTCGCTCTTCACCGACACCTCGGACAAAAGTATTGGAAGGAGCTCAAGAGGACTTGACAGCATAGCCGTAGTCATCAAAGGATTTAAAAGAAGATGATTTTTAGGAGATCATGCAATTGTTTAGCGTCAAAGTCTACACAGCGTATTCTGAGGGAATCTTGGCAGCACAAAATCAGATGCGTTGGGATTTTTGCTGTTACTTTTTTTCCCATCTCTATTAAAGATGGTAGAGATGAAGGGAGAGAACGGCCTTCATGCAGCACTGAGCGTAAGGTTCCGGGGGAAATAAGGATTCTTACCTCCTCTGCCCCGTTGCAGGCTGGTGCTTTGCCTTGTGAGCTGCCCTTGCACAAGGCCTTGCACAAGGCTGCACATGCTGCAGCTGGCTTCTTGTCCCCACTCCTGCAGCAGCCAGGTCCATAACACAGTGTTCAGTGGGATTAAAACAGGTTACAGGTGTGGCTGGTTTTTCCTGTGAAAGAAAAGTCTAATCTTTTGACTTTAACTCAGAGTCGAAGAAAAGTGTGATACCATTGGCTGAACAAAAGTTCAGATTAAACCTTTTAGGGATAGACAGTTTTTTGACTAAACAAGATGTGTTGGTGTAACAAGCCGTGGTCACATCATCACTGATGTTCCGTGGCAGTGTAACTGTGGTGTCATCCCTCACTTCTCCCCAGTTTTGAAACAGTAAAGCTGCTGAATTGATCAAAATGAAACTTGGGCTAGGTGTTTCACAGTTTACCAAATTTCAGTCAGAAAATGTCAATAAAAACCAAATAAGCTCCTCTGTGTAACTGATCAGTTGATGTTTTTAAAAAATAACCCATATACATAACAAAGAAACACTTAAATGCAATCTTAAGGTTTGTGGAAAACGTTATTGGGGAGGAAGGAGATCAGGCTCTTCAGTGTTTACTGGTTGTTGGAAAGTCTAGGTTTCAGGTTAGGTTTTCCTCAGTTCTCTGAAACATTGGGAAGACTTGCATTGTAATTCAACGGATTTTTTTTTTCTGCTGACATATGTTTTATATGTAAATATAGTTTATTCTAAAGTAAGTTTGTTTTAAAAATTGAGGTACGCAAGGGTGAATGCATGGATACATGTGGTCCGAAACTGTTTGTTTCATGCCTGATACCTGTGGAACTCAAGGTGTTGGAGTAGTTTTGGTTTCAAATATTTATAAAGCCTTCTTTACCCTTAGGATATTCCTGAAGCTCCTGAGAGGTTGATGACAGACACCATTAATGAGCCAATCTTGCTGTGCCGATTTCCTGCGGAGATAAAGTCTTTCTATATGCAGCGCTGTCATGACGATTCCCGGCTGACTGAATCTGTAAGTTGGCATTTTACGTAGTGTTGCAGGCTTCTAAATAGAGGGGGAATGACAGTGTGAATGAGCATAAAGTGAGTAAGTACTACAGGAAAATCTTGGAGAATTCTTACCAGGCGTTGGTGTGGGTGTCTCTTGGCACGGCTTGTTAATCCTATAGAAATAATGAAGCAACTCTGAAGGGCCAGTAAAATGTCGGTAGGTCGTAGTGAGCTGCTCTTTGCTGACCTGGAGTAAGTGCTAGCCTAATGACAATACCTCTGTCACTTCTTGGAGACTGTGTTGTCTAAGCACTAGCTGTCTGGCAGCTGGGTTTGTGGTGGGGAGATTTTTCTTTTTTTTTTGTGGTTTTGTGTGGGTGGTTTGTTTGTTTGGATGGGGTTTTTTTTGCAGTTCAGTGTGGGCGAGAGTATTAGTGATTAGAGTACCTAGTCAGTTTATTCCATCTACAGATTGGGTCTGAAAGGAATTGCCTTCTTTCCTGTCAGAGAATTAAAATTACATGGTAAAATGTGTTATGGAAATACAGGCTTAAATTTGGGCTTTTTTTTCCTCCCCCTCCTGCAGGCAGCAGCTTAATTGTAATAGTTTGATCTTACGTTGCGTGTTGTAGGTTGATGTGTTGATGCCTAATGTTGGTGAAATCGTTGGAGGCTCTATGCGTACCTGGGACAGCGAGGAGCTACTTGAAGGCTACAAGAGAGAGGGCATCGATCCCACGCCGTACTACTGGTATACTGATCAGGTTTGTAAAACAGATTCGATGTGCTGCTTGTCAGATGGGATGTTTGGTGGTTTTTTTAACTGCTCTTGAGATGAGGAAACGTGTCGTGGCCCAAAGTAGGTAATCATTTACCCATTGGCAAAATGCAGCGGGTAATGGTCTCCATTCTGGTGAACTGGCTGCTGTTTGCTGCAGTTATGTGCTGCCCCGAGCAGATCACCTCCATTCGACTGGTCTGTGCGGGTGTATTCCTCTTGTAACGTCTGTCTTCTGCGATGTTTGCTCTTAGATAGAGGTTGATCTTCACAGGTTTGGGTGGCTCAGCTCTCGCTAGCATAAGGGGAGGAGAAGAGGAGGTGGTTGAAAAAGAATCGATAAGACTTTCTTTTTCACCTTCCTTTCTCCTCTTGTAGTCCGTACAGTGCCCCAAGAAACTGGGGACAACTAAGTACAAGTATCTTGCCCGAAAAGAGTATAGTCTGTTTTCCTCATCATTCAGAAAGTAATCTTGGAAGGGTTTGTGGTTTTTTTTTTCCCAGTGGTATTACTGCAATTATAGTATAAACAACAAGAAAATGTTTAATAGCTACTCTCTTGATCTTAATTTCACAGAGAAAATATGGTACATGCCCGCACGGTGGATATGGTTTGGGATTGGAACGCTTCCTAACCTGGATTCTGAATAGGCACCATATCCGAGATGTCTGTCTCTACCCACGCTTTGTCCAGCGCTGCAAACCTTAGCGGGCCTTGTGGTACCTCCCAGAAAATGGGGCATCTGATGCTTGGGAAAGAACGATACACTCTGCTGTATGACAGCCTGTCTGAGAGCAGGACTTACTGCAACCTGTTGCTAGTACAAATACTAATTCAGGGGGCGGAAAGGAAAATAAACAAAACCCTTTTTTTTAAAGGAAAATGCCACTAATTAACTGGAAGAAGTCTTAGAAAAAATTGTTAGGTGCATTTATGCTATCAAGTCAATATAAAACAAAGATCCTGTCATTTAAAAACCAAGATACACTTCTGCTTTTAATTTCTGTGACTTAAAATATGCTGGGCGTTTGATTTTTTTAATTTGCTTTAATTTTAATCTGTTTTCTCTTGTGATGTCTTGCTGGAGAAATCGGGAGTTCAAGCTCTTTAAACTCCCAAGTACTGAACCTCTGAGAATGGTACAAAGAGATATCATCTAAAGAGCTCGACAAAGTATAAAAATGGGAATAATTCTATTAAGCGCTGCACTTTTTTAGTCCCTGCTGTTTTTAGTGGAAGTTCTGTTAGAGTTTATTCAGTAGCAAGGTGTATGTAGTATCGAGCACAGAATTCACTGCAAGAGCCATGGGTTGTTTTGGGTTTTTTCCCCCAGATTATTTATTGGTTAGAAATGATGGCGCTGGTGGTGAGGTAGGCTTTGCTGTGGATGAAGCGCTGTAGTGGGTCCATGCACACCCAGCTGTGCTGAATTCCAGTAACACTGGTAGCTCATGGACGCTGGAATGCTTGTGATGCCTTCCAAATTAAGATTCTGCCGTCTGTTGCAAACCAGAATTGACTGTCTGAAGACCCAAAGAAACTGGTAACTTCGAAAAAACAATTGAATTTCAGCATCGTTTGCTGACTGCATTGCTGTCCTCTCTAGGTGAAGTGTAGTTCAAGCAGTGCTTCCCAACATCATGCCAAAGTATGTTTTCATGGTAGAGCAGTTCCATGTTTCATAGCTGGCTCCGTGTTCTCTTGTGCTACTGCATCTGAGCTTGTAATCAAGTTATCAAATAGGATTAATTAAATATTTAATGTGCTGAGTCATGCTTCTAGTCCTAATTTTTTTTTACTAGAGAGGAAAAAAAAAAATTGGTAGGTGCATCATTTGGTCCTACACGGAGACTTGATCTTGATTTGCCATTGATAGAATTGTTGACCTGTGTGATACCCCTATTTTTGGCATAAATGACTGGTTTTCTTCATCTTGCATGTTAAGTATATAAACTGGTCTAAATCAGTAACCAATAAATTATGGCAACGTAAACTGGTGTGCAAGACAGTAGTTCTTGACCTGTAACATCTGTTCCTTTCACTTAGCCTTTATAGCTTACTTGCTTCGTAGAGTCTGTCCTGGCATGGGCAAAAGCAGAGGAAAAGTGAATTTTCAAATGCAGTAAACACATATTCCAAAAAATGGAACTAGCTTTTTCTTTTTAAACTAAATCCCCATTCATTAACTTAACAGCATGAATTTTTATTGTTTGGATAGAGCACCTCAGCTACCCCGCTGAAACATCCCAGAATAAACCAGTGCGGTGCTGAATAACTAGCTGCCAGGGCCGCAGCTCCAGGGGGAGCCGGCTGCTGGGAGCTGTGCCTGCCCCAGGTGAGGCCGGGTTGGTTAGCAGAGTGGATGTCACTGGAAGAAGCGAGGGCATTTCCAGAGGTCTTGAACATCGGGATTCAATGCCTTGGGGTTTGTTGGGGAGCACTGTGGCATTGCTGTGTGACCTAAGGGGTGCCTCTTTGAAGTAGAGGCTGCCTGAAGATGAAGGAAAGATGCTCTAGGAAAGGAGCACTGCTGCGATGGTTTTCTTTGCGATCGGCGTCTCTTGAATTCATCCTTTTCACCTATTTTTCCCAGTCTTTTTGTAGCCACAAGAGAAGAAAATCTTGTACAGCAACATGCCTCAGCTCTCTCACACTTGTCCTGTTCTTTGTCCGAGTGTAGGACTTAAAAGATTCTTCTAAATACCTGCAAAAGTACAGTCAACCGTAAGTTTCCTGTGGTTTGGGGGATTGTTGCATATGTCTGAATTACATAAACGAGAGGAACAGGAGAAAAATTAACAAATGTGGCTGCAAGAAACTGCTAGCATTTTCTTATTCAAAACTTACATACTTGGCAATGTAGTAACAGCGAGCTGTATGAAAAGTCACCCTAGTCCAAAAGTTGAATGTGCTACCAAATAGTAATTGCACCCCTCGGGGGTTTGTTTTTGTGGGATTTTTTTGCTGTCAGTGTTTTGGGGGGGTGGTGGTGTGTGTTTTACGTTTTTTGGGGGGGGGATGGAGCTCAAGGGGTTTCTGTAATTCAAATACAGAGGAATTTATGAGCCTGTAAAGACTTACTATAAAAAAAAAAAGTCCTTCAAGTGCCTGAAGTGATGGGAAGGGAGGAGAAGGGTTGGGAAAAGATGCTACTAGAAAAACATCGCTTGTTTGCAATCGGTTTTCTGTCCTTAAAACTGGCAGGGCTGAGCTGCTTTGTAAAGGTTAAAAGCCTCCATATCAGGGGAGCTACTCAAGGAAGGTCTGAGGACTTAAGAGGTGCTTATGGAAGAGGCAGATCAGATAAGGAGCTTAAAAGGTGACTGGGATGAAAGATGCTGTTGAGTTGAACTGCTGTGCAGTTCCATAATCTGTCAGGAGAGAGGTGGTGCTGGGCAAACCACCTGCACGGGGAAACATCCCCGAATTGAGAAAAGCCAGTGCAACTGGTGGCATAGGAAGGAGGAATTCCTTAGGCAGCCACTGAAAGCCAAAGACAGGAATGAGGTCATGTTGAAATGCTGCTTCAAACCAAACCTTTGCTCTGTTAAATAGGATTGGTGTAGTTCCTGATTTATCATCGAGGCTCAATTCAGGGTTTTTATCACTAAGAAAAAAAAATCAGAGATTGAAAAATGACAAATTTATCTTGGTTTTGTTTCTATGTCCCATCAGTTGTGGTTTTGTAAGGTGTCTTATTTCTTTTTTTGATTGTATTCTTACGAAGAACCTGCTGTAGGTGATCCTGCTTTAGCAGGGGGTTGGACTAGATGATCTCTAGAGGTCCCTTCAACTCCTACCGCGCTCTGATTCTGTGAAAGTTCACTGAGTTTGATGATGTCTCCAGGGATGTAAAACTGATGATGATCCTGGGTGTTTCCTCGCAAATTGTGATCATTAACAATAGCTCTCAGAAAGGCACTGCAGCTGCTTGGAATACAAGAATACTTGGTTTTATTTTTATTAGGAAGGGTAAACAAAGCCGCAAAAGAGGAGAAAATGTGCAATCAGAACTTGGATTTCTCTTCATCCTCACTTTCATTTTCCCTCAGGGTATCTCCACGCAGTCAGGTCTGTGCACTGCCATTAGTCCTTGTTCCACCTGAGCTGGAGCAATTCCTTCTGTCCTGCTCCTCTGGCACAGGTCCTGCAGTGCTGCCATCTACATTTAGGACAGAGGGAGAGGAAAAGAGAGGCGAGGACCATGGCGTTAGGGCCAGCAGTGAGAGCCCCAGGCGTGCAGAGCAGGGCGCTGCCTCCCTGCCCACCAAACAGCCGCCTTTGATTCCTAGCATCCGCAAACCGCACTGGGACAGAGAAGCACAACTTACGCCATAACGGTACACAGAGGTGTGTAAATCCAGGTCTGCAGATATCTGCCTCCAGCTGAGAAACACTTCCTCCCAGCACGCAAAGGAAACCTCCTCATAAATGATGCACACTGTAAACACAGTGTGTGTCCCTGTCCTCGCACGTGTCTTCCAGTAAAACCTCAGGTGAAAACACCCCCCAGCCGCACAGACAGACAAACTGGGCGGTTGTGGTACCCTGCGCAGAGTGTCTGGGTGTTAATGCAGGTGTAGAGTGGGATCACTGTGTTCAAACTATACGTCCACGTCCTGTGCTGTGGAGAAGGGCCATGTCCTTCCCCTTTCCAGATGGGGTAACTTCTGTCCACAGAGATGGGACTAACCCAGGTGACAGCATGCAGATGGTTCTTGGAGGAGCAGAGAATTACTACAGGTGAAATGAGGGGTCGGATGGTGGAAGAGGCCATTGGTGAATGTCCCCTGGAAGAGATGGGCTGGGATGACGCCGGACTCTTGGTGACACAGAGAAGGAAGGACGAGGATTGTTGTTAGGTGAGGATCCTGGTCTTAACCGCAAAGGCTGATCACGATGTGAGGTGGTGGATGACCTTCTCTTGTTTTAATCATGGGATGCTCGATCTCTTATTTCTCAGCCCTGTGGTAACGGTCACACAGGGACTGTGGAGGACACCCAGGGAAAAGCAGCCTGAGCAAACTTCGGGGTCGG